AAATATAAATTTGTATTTGTATTTGATTTGATTTTCAAATCAAATATTCAAATATCAAATTGAATTGCAGAACCCTACTTAACATAGTTTATTTAGCTGATAATGCCACATATTTTGTTTTTTTTAGTAGAAATCTTATTTAAAAAGCAAGATACAATGCTAAAATCATCATATCAAATTGCTTTCCAACAAGTAATATTATTTGCATTTTCTTTAAACCAATAGGTAGCAAGACCTTATAAATATCCTGAAAAAATCTTCAGTTTTTGTTCATTTATCCAATTTTTTATTTTAGCAGTAATTTCGAAGTTTCTAATCCAATTAGTTAGATCCTCATTATCATTCCCAAAGAAAGGTTTAATTGGAATTATATTACTTTTCTTAGGATCATATCTTATACTACCAGATGAAGATGAATTCACATTCTTTAAGTCCTTAGTAACATCTTTAAATCCTTTAGTAATAGAATCAATAAGAGCTTTCAATTGATCCTTATCCATTATTTTAGTAGTAGATTTAGGTATTAAAGTAAGAGGTTTGATAATAGGATTATAAGGTCTTTTAAAACATTTAGTATATTATGTAACTAATAATAAATGTTATAATACAGTTATTAAATCAGATGGATATAAGATATAATTTAGATAATATAAGACGATTATCACAACTTTAAATGTTTTCTTACTGTTATGTATGTTTTCACAATAACTTTGCAAGTAAAGATTAAATGTAATCAATAAAGTATCACTATAGATGGTAGTATTATATTTATTAAAGATTCACTTCCAAAAGTTTTTAAAAGTTTTGTTTACTTTTTGCTTGACAGGATTGCAAAGAATACAAGATTCGTCTTTATTTAATGGTGAATTTTTATTATTAACTTCTTTATGTTTCTTATAAATAGTATTTAAGATATCAAAGTTTATTTGTAAACTTATATAATTTTATATGATTTGCCTGATAGGAATCACCAATTTGTTAACCCTATGCTCAACCGTTGAACTTAGGATAATATTGATTTGTAATATGTATATTTGTTTATGATTACTATAAGATAAGTCTTACCATGATTAACCTTTAAGTTTATTAACCAGTAATTATTTTACATAAGTTTACTGTTATATAAGTGGTTCTAAACAGGTATAAAAGTTGACCAAGTTTAATACCAGGAGTAATAGTAATAGCAGAAAGACCGCCTCCAGTATTAGGTGCTATTGGTACATTATTTAACTTTATAACTTTATAACAAAATGATAAATACTTTTAGACATGTTGAAGAAAAATTATAGATTATTGTATAGAAAGAGATTCCTTTTTATTGTAGATTTGTATATTCAGAAATCCTTAATCCTAGATTCTAAGTCTTGAACTTGCACTCTTGAGTTATTCTTTACAAGAGTAACATTTGTATTCTATTTATACAAAATTACAATTATAAGAAAACTATATTTAATATTACTTTATTATAAATTGATAATATAATAAATAAAGATAAAATATAAAAATAAATATATAAAATAATAAATAAATAAATAATATAAGAAATATAAATATGTTAAAAAAGTTAAAAACATTAAAGAAGTTGAAAAAGTTAACAACGCTAAATTTGTAGATTATTGTGATGCAGTAACTTTAATGAGGTCTAGTATTAGCAGAATTATAATGTGATTAAAGAAGGGATGTGATTATATAAGAGGTGACTATATAGAGAAATGTATATGAAATCTTTTATAAGAACTGGCTTAGCTATAAAAACTTTATGGTAAGTAATTCTGTTAAGATATTATGGAAGAATTTTATAAAGTACATTAGAGAATATACAGAAGATAAAACCTTATAATAAATAATGAGATGAAGGAAAACATTGCTCTGATTTGTGTTTCACTCTAGTAAACTTGCAAAAATCATTACAGAATATGATGTGTTCTTTCACAAATTAATATACTATATGCGATATAATGAGCATATATCTATTCCAGAAAAAATTAGGTTATTACAATTGTGCGAAAAAATGAAATGATTGTTAACCAGTCTGCTTTACTTCATATGATAATAGTTGATCAAGAAATGCTATATAATTTCAGAAATACGTGATATTATCATCTTGAAGTACAAGTGAAGCACTCCAATCATCACAAGCAAAATAGATTTTTAGGAGAAAACAGTTTTCTATATTATTAAGTACTCTTAGCTGAAATTACTATATCCTGCTAAGAGATCTTATATAATATTATTTATATATTTTTTTTTCGAATAATAATATCTCAATTAACTTTTTTATCTTTGTTCTTCTGACCTTTGATCATATACCTAATCTCAAATATGTCTAGAGAGGATAAAATAAAGGATAATATATCCCTTTTTCTTACTATAGTTTTAAAAAAGAAAACCTATAAGGTTAGGCAATTGAGATAGATTTTCTTCTAAAGGTTTTGACCAAAGGAGATACAATCCATATTTTCTTCTGACTACAAGCTATATAATTGCGAGAAGAAATAAAGTAAGTATAATATTTATTAATATCAGTGATATTAAGGATTCTGCAACTAGGGTTCCACAATTCGATTTGATATTTGAATATTTGATTTGATCAAATTCAAATCAAAGAATGATTTATTTGATCA